GCCGGGGGTCCTGCCTATATGCAACGCACAACATTGATAACACCACAGGCACTTGAACTGTTTTCAATAATTAAAATTAGCGTTAATAAATACAACTTGTCAGTACTAGACCTACCAGTACCAGGCACCAGATAATAGTCTTAATGTATTTGACCTAGATAACTTCACTTCAACGACCGTCCAATACACCGCTGCCAACACATAGCCGCGCACGCCATTGCCCGCCATGCCACAAATACACATGACTATAGAGAAGCCCGCTAAGGAAAGCGTTCGCACACAGAAATTCCAGACGCCTCGAATCTTTTCACAACACTAGAGCCAAGATACACAACAAACCGCCATGATATGGCGCATCTGGTGCTAGCTGAATGGTCACGTTGTTCGAATATAGCGTCTTGAACTTGGTACCACATACTTTACCCAGAATTATATGACAAATCCTGCTCGGAATTTGCGCGAATTTCCCATGATAGGCCGCTTTCGTAAATGGGATCAGTACATGAGTAATGGCGCGCGCATTGGCATTCTGCGTGAGCCAGAATTGCCGCGTATATAGAACAGACGTATATTTTTTTACTAGCCGCTTCGTCAATGCGCGACCATCAGCCTACATGAGTAATGCGCGCATTGCATTCTGAGGAGCAATGATCCCATTTACGAAAGCGGCCTTCATGAGAGAATTCGGCAGGTGAAATTCGAGCATGGATTTCTTCATATATTCTGGGTAAAGTATGTTGGTACCAGTTGCAGACGTATATTTCGAACAAGTGACCATTCAGTACACACAGATGCCAATATCATGGCGGTTGTTCGTGTATTTTGCTCTAGTGTTGTGAAACGATTCGAGCTGTTGTTGGAATTTCTGTGCGAACGCTTTCTTACCTTCTCTATATCACTGTGTTACGTGTGTATTTGTGCAGTGCACAATGGCCGTGCGCGCGCTATGTGTAGCAGCGGTTTATTGGACGGTGTGAAGTGAAGTTATTAGGTCAAATCAAACATTAAGACTATTACTGGTACTGCGTAAGGTCTAGTACTGACAAGTTGTATTTATTAACCCATCATTTTATTATTTGAAACGCGTCCAAGTGCCTGTGATAAACACCAGTTTCACCACACGAACGTGCCCCTGGCCCTGGACAAACTGCAGCCGGATAAACGCGCGAAGCGCGAACAGCGCCACACTGGCGCCATCTATGGACAACTCGCTGCCCTATATTAGAATACTTTTCACGAGGCCTTTCAGGTCATAGGAATAAAGCCGTAGAATCGGTCAATTCAGCATGTTCTGGCCCATTGCAGAAGGTCTTTCGGCTTTGCACGTAGGGCGAGAATAAATCCAATACTCGTTTTTGTTGCTTTGTGGCTCGGCGCGCCGTGCTTTTCGTGTTATAAAAATAATTTTCCCTTTTCGCTGATTTTATGCCCTACATTAATTTGGAAGTTATCGCCCACCCATAGATGGCGCTACGAGTCCATCTACGTAGCATTTTCAAGTTTTTTTTAAAAAAACGCTCGGCTGCATGACCTAGACTGCCGCGCGGCGGTGCACAGTTCGACACGCTAGCGTAACTCACTTCAGTGTAGCCAACGATAGTTCGCTGAGTGAAGGTCGGTAGCCGTCTAGCCCTGCCTCGTCACTGCCGCATGAACTTGAGCGATAAGCTCCAATCTGATGTTTCTTGATGTTGCCATTATGATTGTGAGGTATGTTCAGTTTGTTTAGACTCAGAACTAGCGGCACATTAAGACTGCCTATTACATTCCACACCTACGGCTAGGAATACTTGTATTACTACAAGTACATGTTACAATAATTACTACTAAGTACTACTACTAGTAGTAGTAGTACTACTAAGTTACCTAGTACTAGTACTAGTAACTACCAGGACCGCACGAGCTAATAGTAATAGTAATAGTAATAATGACTAACTCTGTTACTAGTAATTAACTTACTAATAATGACGAACCCTAACCTATTATATTGATATAATATTAGATTTATATTGATGTAAATGACATTGGTTTTATTCCCCATGCCATACATTGGGTCCCATATAATATTGGAGCCATGTTTCTCTATCCTTGAACACTAGTACTACTTAGACTACTTACGACTAGCAAGAAACGCCTCTTTGCTAGGGTTAGAATACCCCTAGGCTATACTAGACACAGGCACTTGAAGGCGTTTCAATAAAATATAATGCTAACTAAATACGAAATCTATTTACTACGAAATTGATTCATGTTTCTAGTATAGGCCTACTTGTTTCAAGAAGGTTTTCGAGGTGCAAAGGCCTATATATAGACTAGGACTCGCTCCCACCTCGATTAGCCATGGAGGACTAAGCTAAGCCGAGAGGTGCGAGAGAGTGCCGAGTCTATGGGCTATAGGCGGCGGCAGCGCGCCACTGCTTTCCAATTCCCGTACGAGCCTCGCATTTGGAACGTTGTTGCCAAAAACGTTGCAGCGTTGGGGCGCGAAGAGCGCCGCGTAGGTGTTTCCTGATTCTGACAGCCGTTCCATTACTGGCAAGCGGTCCCGAATGTCAGAATTTCGACATTCTTTCTGTGATTTCGCGTGACACAGCTCGGTTACGAACAGATTACTCGCGTTTATCAGTTTTTATAACAAAGTGAAACACTGCTTCACGTCCAAATGTCTACCCTCTGTGTCCCCACTAAAATTCGCGGACTGTTCGCTGGCAGCTATCGGATCGTTGCGCCCGCCAATTGATTCGGCGCCACGGATCCATAGCTGCCAGCGCTGCATACTGTGTAGGACGTTCCCGCGGTCGCGTGCCGCCTTGCCGCGGATTCGCGCCGCAACATCTGCGCTTATAGCGCTTGGATCAACACCTCCTTTCGGCAACGCTTCTCTAGTATCCCGTCTCATCTGGATGTTTACGTTGGATTATACAATGAATTATGAACTAAATAATAATATTAATAAAAGGTTACACGTTAAACGAAAAATCACCAATGTGTATTAAACGAAAACCTTAAACTTACAAGAAGGCATGAAAACGTTCGAAATGCCATGAAAAGTAAGAACAAAACACATGAACTATGAAGAAGAAGCTAACTTCTAACTAAGCAAATTCGGAGGCAAAAGGCGGTTAGTTGACGAGGTTCCCGCCGATTTCACGTGAAATCTCGTGTGAAATCTCGAATGGTAAATAAAATAGAACAGCTGTATTGGAAAGGCAAAAGTTACGAGGCGAGGTTCCCGCCGATTTCGCGTGAAATCTCGTGTGAAATCTCGAATGGTAAATATAATAAGATAAGACATAGATACCTACTAACCCAAGTATAAGATAGAACAGCTTTATTGTAAAGCCAACCGTTTGTATCTTGTATCTTGGCACCCTCTCTTGAATTTTCTAAATATTATTGTTTCGAATCACCAGAAATTTCCGCACATAATCTGCCGCTGGTTTCAATTGTCCGTGGTTGTCTATATTCAGTTGTCTGTCAAGAATAAGGTAACCCAACAAGAGAGGCGTTACAACTTACATACACAAATGCGGTTCAAGGATAGATCATAGAGAACATGGGTCCCAATAAAACCAATGTCATTTACATCAATATAATTATAATATTATATCAATATAATACTAGGTTAGGGTTAGGGTTAGGGTTAGGTTTAGGCACATTGGTTTTATTGGGACCCATGTTCTCTATCCTTGGGCCAGGAACCCTAGTACTACTAGCTCCAAGAAACGGTATTGCTAGGGTTAGAATACGTAACGAAGGTGTATTGACGTTAGTCACACAGCCTGGTCGGGTTACCCTAGTACTAGTACTAATAGTAGTAGTACGGTTAGTAGTATTGCTGAGGCGGAGAGGGTCTATGTCCCCCGGGTTACTGCCGGAACGTACCCTGGGTACGGTCCGGTATACCGGAACGTACCCTGGCACTATCTATATAATCTAATATGCTGGACAGTACCTCGCCTACTCCACTAACGAGTCTAGGGAGTCGCCTACGCCTACTCCCTAACCCTAACCCTAACCCCAGCCCTAATCCTAACCCTAACCATATCAAATAGTTACCAGGGTACGTTCCAGTATACCGTACCGTACCCAGGTTACGTTCCGGCAGTAACCTGGGGGACATAGACCCTGTGAGCATTGCTGAGAGGGTCTATGTCCCCGGGGTACTGCCGGAACGTACCCTGGGTACGGTCCGGTATACTGGAACGTACCCTGGCACTAACTATATAATCTAATATGCCGGACCGTACCTCGCCTACTCCACTAACGAGTCTAGGGAGTCGCCTACGCCTACTCCCTAACCCGAAACCGAGCCCTAACCCTAACCCCAACCATAATCCTAACCCTAACCATATCAAATAGTGACCAGGGTACGTTCCAGTATACCGTACCGTACCCAGGTTACGTTCCAGCAGTACCCTGGGGGAGACATTTGACCCTATGAGCCAGTACTATTGTTGTGTTACTTATTGTATCTAGTAATTGCATGTCCCTCTCCAGTTCTTATTTGTTCTCCATCCTTATATTTATTATAGCTATCAGTGTCAATTTATAAAATCGAAGTCCTCATATTCTTATTACATCTATTACTATTAGTATTACTATTAGTATTAAGGCCCAAGACACGGCAGCGAAAACGACCGACCGTAACGACAAACGAACTTTTCAGAAAATTAGAACTATTGTTTCCTATGAGCCATTGCACACTGACGCGACGACGGCCGACACCTCAACGAACAAAAATATTTAGAAACGTTTCTATTCCCAGCGACTTTCGCCGGCGACACTTTACTGAGTGGAGTTGTGCAGATTCCAAGTTTGGCGCACAACATAGCCACGTAGATATATGCTGTTCATAATCATTGCAAATAC